GGTCTTCTAGCCATTTACTTGGATAATTCTATGCTGGGGAAAAGAGAACACACGAACATTTCAAGACTATGGGACACAGAGTCTTAATGAACACTGGTGTCCGGAGACCCAAAACATTATCATGGGTTTAACATTGATTTGGACATAGAAGAAGACAGGATTAGTGACTGAAAACAGGTCAATAAAAATAAAAGTGAAACACAGATGGGAAAAAAATGGAAAGAAACAGACAGGAGAGTAAAACACATGTAGGACATGCTCAAAAAATCTAACTTACGAATATAAAGTTTCCAACTCAAGAGAGAAGATGAGGAAGAAACGATATGCGAATCTTCCAGAATAATTATCCAAAACTGGGAACACATCAGTTCTCAGATTTAAGAAGTACAGAGAACCTGAAGCAGAATAAATACAAAGAAAACTACACCTAGGTATATCATTGTCAAATTTTGCAACGTTTAAAAAAAGAGATTGAAAAGAGATACCCTAACTTGAGAAAAAGAACAGTAAGGCTGACAAATGACTTCTCAACAGAAACAGTGGATTCCAGAAGACAGTGGAATGGTATCTTTAAAATGATAAATTAAGGGGCCGGCCCGTGGCTCACTCGGGAGAGTGCGGTGCTGATAACACCAAGGCCACGGGTTTGGATCCCATATAGGGATGGCCGGTTCGCTCACTGCCTGAGCGTGGTGCTGACAACACCAAGTCAAGGGTTGAGATCCCCTTACCGGTCATCTTTAAAAAAAAAAAAAAAAAAAAAAATGATAAATTAGGGCTGGCCAGTTAGTTTCGTTGGTTGGAGCCTGGCGCTGATAATGCCAAGGTCCAGGATTTGATCCTTGTACTGGCCAACTGCCAAAATAAACAAATAAATAAAATAAAATGATAAATTAATGCCAGTCTAGGATTTTATAAGAAGTGAAAATATCCTTAAGATATGAAGGTAAAGTAATAAAGATTTTATATAAGTAGAAATGGAGAGAATCCATTGCCAGCAATCTGAATTAAAATAAATACTAAATGGAGTTCTTCAGGGGAAAGAATAGTGATCCCAGGTAGAGGCAGAGAAAATTCAGGAAGGAATGAAGCATCCCAGAAAAGGTAACAACATGGATAAAGAGAAGTGGATACAAAATAAAAGTCTTGTGTAAAAATATATAAATATGTATAATACATATTTAAATATATGAAGAATTAAGAAGCTTGATAATAATGCAAAGGCTGAGAGTGAATGTGTCCTGATGCTCCAGCACGACCAGGAATGTAGTAAGTTACAGCCTCGTGGGACTCTGGTGAGTAAAGAATGCATGCTGAAATCCCCAGTGTAACCACTGAAAGTAGTGAAAGAATTCATAGCAAACAATTTAATGGGGAGAAAGGGACTGATAAAGTAATAAAATTAAAATATTTGATTCATCCTAACAATGACAGAATTCCCATTTCTTTCAATTGCACATAGAACATTTGGAAAGACTTTCCACATGCTGGGTCATAAAGAAAGCCTTCGTGATTTCACAAATACTTTCAGAAAATAGAAAGTGAGGAAAGATGTTCCAATTAATTCTATAGAGCCAACATAACTTTGACACCAAAATCTGAAGGAAAAATTAAATACTAATATCTCATAAGGATAGATATCATAATCTTAAACAAAATATTAAGGACTTAAATGCAGTAATATATATAAGTGATAGTAAATCACAACTATTTGGGGTTTATTCCAGGAATGCAAGTGTGGTTCCATATTAAATAATCAAGTTTAATTTACTAAATTAAAATAAATAAAGGAGAAAATCACACGATCATCTAAATAAACGGAGAGGAGTATTTATAAAATTCAGCACTCATTCCTAATAAAAGAAAACTCTTAGCAAAAACAAAACAAAACATCTCTTATTTAGCTCTAGGAATAGAAGACAGCTTTCTGAACTTTATAAAAAGTATTTTAAAAAAGTACAGCAGGGCCGGCCCGTGGCTCACTCGGGAGAGTGTGGTGCTGATAACACCGAGGCCACAGGTTCGGATCCCATATAGGGATGGCCGGTTTGCTCACTGGGTGAGCGTGGTGCTGACAACACCAAGTCAAGAGTTAAGATCCCCTTACCGGTCATCTTTAAAAAAAGAAAAAAAGAAACTGTAAGCAATAAATTTTGTTTTCTTTTTTCTTTTTTTTGTCTTTTTCCGTGTCCGGCAACGGGATTGCAACCCTCGGTGTTGCTCCCGCGCC